TATAGACAAGTATTTCTTACGGTTTCTTATCAACTGGAGATTTGATTGTTAATGCTTGGTAATACAGCTATTGTGCCTTATTAAGATTTCTACTTGACCTGATAATATTTGTGTGGTTGAATTATGCATGCATATTGTGGAATAGGAAATGTGGAAATTGATTTATAGAAATTCCATCCTGATATTTAAAATATTTAACCTATGACTATAGTGAATGAGAAAGGATTATGGCGGATGGTCTATAAATGAGAAGTTTGGATGTCCAAAGGATGGCTGTGTGAATATATGTGCTATGTGCACTGAAATTGTAACATTTTGATTAGTGATTAGTCTAATTCTTAGAGGAGGTGCTGCCAAACTTTTGATCGGATAATGAAATCAATTATAATCCGAATATGATAAAAAAAACGAATGAAATAATTTGAATAGACAACCAAAGTAGAATTTAAGTATTTTCGGATAATAAATTAAAGTAATAAAAAAATTAGATCAATATTATTTCTAATTGCTACGATCTTTGAATTTGAGTTATTGGTGCCTAGCAATGTAATTTTCAGGCTTGCTGCGTTTATTGCGCTGCCTTGATAATGCGAATGTGTTTATATGAAATGTGTTGTTAATGCAATTTTTTCATTCTATGTTTTAAATAATAAAGGGAAAAACAGAAGAGATGTGAAATATGATGATGGAAATACATGGATTAATGGTATCTCAGTCGTCAGGGAGATCGGCTCCTGGGCTCATATCTAGGGGATGAGCTCCTTGGTCCGTAATGGGGATGGACTCATCGTGCCCTGATAGAGGGATGGGCTCCTCTATCGTGAAATATGATTAACAGAGAAAAAGAAAAGAGAAAGAGACACTATTGTAATGTGTGATCCGTCTTAGTGACACATAAGATGTTATGATGTTGAAAGCTCCACTTTTAAATGTATGTTTAATAAATATAATTCCATGTTTTAAGGTTTATACTAGCTTGTTTCCATTTGTGTTTTGTATCAAACTATATTTTATTACTGGGTGACATTGTGTGACTAAAGTGTGTGACATTTTAGAAATTTAATGAAATCATTTATATGACTGTGTGTAGTAATTATAATGCTTACTATTATTCATTGAGCTGAGGCACTCACCCCCACCTCATTTATTTTTCAGGTCATTAGATTCTTTTATCATTTGATTGGACCCCTGTGGAGCAGTTTCATCCCTTATCTTAGAAGGATTCCAGAGTATATAAATAATAGACAAATTCCACAATTACTATAAACCTTGAACTTGCTGGTTAATTAAAGATTTAAATGATGTATTTTGAATTATTCCTTAATACTTAGTGAAAGTACTTATGAATTTGTATTTTGTGTGTTTTGGTTCAAATGTTAGACCTTATATAATATTAGGCTTAGAAGTGATAGTGGATAGGAAAGGCTTACTACGAGCTTTGGATGCTTTATGCTTTCCCAACTCCTAGTGTTGGTCCGGCCCAAGGAGACGGGTTGTGACACTAAATCTCTCTTTATATATACATATTTCTAACTCTATTTTTTTTAATCTATACATTTTGTTAAAGTCCTAATTTTATGGTATTTACAACTAGTTTTTCAATCACCTAATTTGAAGTGAAATTGGTTTTTATGTTTTTATACGTTGTTATATAATCATAGAGTATTTCATAATCTCATTTGTAATATTGTATATGATTTTTTTAATAAAGAATAAATTTAGAATTATATTCTATTAAAAAAAATATTTAGAATATATATATATAGTCTTAATGATAAATAAAAGTTATTCTAAAGAAAATAAAAAAATTAATAAAATAAAAAATTGTTTGGAAAAAAAGTAATAAAAGACTATTTAACGGCTAACCTGGTAACATAAGTTGATATGTTGAAGTGTCACATAAATAGAATTCTGTCTCTATACAGAACTCTTTAACCTTCGTACAATAGTAAAAGGCTTTTTTATATTTAATTTAAATTTGTAGATCTCACATTTTATTAAAATATTTTTAATATTTATATAATTGATTTGTAAATAAATAATTTGAAATTTGTTCAAATTTAATTTCACAAATATAGTTAAAAATAAAATTTTATAATCTATGGATTATGGCTCAGTTGGCAATGCAAGTTGAGCATATGAGAAGAGATCTCGAGCTTGATCTCCATTTTTAAACACTTGTGGCCGGTAGTTTATACCAAAAAATTTTTTTTTGTAAATTGTAATTATGATATTAAATTATTTTTACAAAATATATGACAATAATGTGATATAATAAAATATTCTATTTAATTTTATTTATTTATTTAGTCAAATAAAAATTTATGATTTTAAAATGACTATTATTTAGTGGAGAAATTTTTATTGTCCTAATTATTTTTTTAATCATTTATTTAGTCAAATAATTATTATTTCTTATTATATTATTTATTATTATGTCTTGACGTTTATATTTTTGCTTATTCACAAAATTAATTTCAATTTAAATGAAATTGAAACAAAACAATTAATATAAGTTTTCAAAGTATTTTGGCATTAGAACCCCATGTCCCATGGCCTAACTATTCTAAGCATTCTCTATAAAAAGGATGTTTGCTATAAAAAGTAATTATTTTACAGTATATTATGAAATATTATAAAATAATACAAATTATTGTGCATATAAAAATTAATACTACCTCCATTCTATAATACCTGTCACATTTAAGAAAATAGTTTGTTCCAAAATACTAGTTACATTTCTGGTTTCAAGGAGTAATAAATATTTTTTTTCCATATTTACACTTTATATATGACCAATAATTATTATTTCAATTTAATGACTTTCTTAGAGAATTAGTATTAAATTAAGGGTAATATAATCAATTTACTCAATAATATATTATAACTTAGACAAATTTAATGATTTTCTTAAAGAACGTGAAATTCGAAATATGACAAGCATTATGAAACAGAGATAATATTTATTAATATAAATATTTAAAAACACTTTTCAAAAAAAAATTATTTAAAAACATAAACTTAAAAGTTGAAGTGGCATAAAATTAGGACTTTAGAGTGCTCATTTGGCACTATTTTTTTTTTCTATTTTTCTTTCATTTAGTTTGAACATTAATAAAGGTAATTATTAATATTTTTAATAGTATTAATGGTATATTTTTCATTTTTTTTCAATAATTAATAAAACTATTAACACAATTAAATTCTTTATAACTAATAAATTTTTGAGCTACTTTCTCTAATAATGCAATTAATAATATTATTAAATAATAACCTTAATTTTATTTCAAATTTCAGGATTTTTTTCTGTCACCCATCTACCTATTCATTTTGATATTTAGATTGACATAGAAATATTATGCTACACTATTTACTCATCTAAAGTTTCTAATGCTAAATGAATTATAGATTTCTAATGGCACTAAAATTTAATTAATACATAGAAGTAATTAAGCCAAGGTTAAAAATATAATAATTAACTCATGATATTTTTTTTGGTTCTTTATAATCCACTCAATGCGGATACGTGACTAGTTACTATAAAATTTAAGTGCCTTGATTTTACCGAAGACGTTGGATAAAATGTTTTTCATAAAATTAAATGGCAAATCCCTTAAAAGAGCAAACAACAATATTTAACTTCCGTGAAACCGTAGCTAAACTTTCCACGTTACTGGTTTGGTCTCGTACAGAAGGAAATTACTTATTTAGATTGAGTTCATAATTACGCTTATAGACTAAACTAATTACAGTAAAAAATTCTATAAAAAATATTTCGATTTTATTCTTTTTTTTTCACAATAAAAAATATTCTTGTTTTAATAAAAAATTTTATTTTTATTGATTTGATCCACGGGTGAAGCTCAGACGATAAATTTTTCCCCGTATAGAAAGGGGGAGAAAGAAACCTGTGAAAAACATAAAATCATTTCCAGCACTTGGAATTTACATATCAGAAATTGACAATATACCAGAATCATCCAACCTCGCCCCTCCCCTCGTGAAATGGAAATCGCTAGAACAGTGGATAAAATCTCATTCCACTCGTCACTCGAAAAATCCGTACCTCATGCGACGTCCCTGTACAAGATTATAGGGCCTGCATCAAATTGTAAGTACGAAACTGGCTGGGTTTGTGTTGTCGTATTCTTGGATCTAAACGACATCCATGACCTGACTTTAGTTTTATCATAAAAATAAAAACAAATTTTGCAAAGTAAATACTACCCACCAAATTTAGTGTTCCTACAATTTTGTGTTGTACCCTTTCTCAATAAATGCAGGTAACCTGTTTGTTTTATGTCTGGTGTATAGTACAATGCATAAACTAAGCCAATGACTTGCTCAGGTCTGTCTATGAGATAATTAGGTGCCAAGCCAATGATTAATTGCCATGAAAGAAATTACTATGGTAATCTTTTATTTTTTTTCTTTTAAGTGAAAAACACTATATCCCTTTTTGCGCCAAATGATTTTATCGGATTGGATTGGTTTATAAATCCACTTATACCCTTGTGTAGAAAAGTACTCTACCCTTAGAACAGTTCCATATCAAAATACTGACCACTAGTTAAAGAGCCGTATTTGTAATTTGGTTTCTAAAAGTTGTGAGGTGCAAAGATTGTGGATCTGCATCAAATTGTAAGTACGACAATGGCCTGGAGTTTGTGTTGTCGCTTCTTGGACCTAAACCATATGCATGATCAGATTTTAGTTTTATCATTAAAAAAAAAAAAAAAAACAAATTATTCTAAGGAAATACTATACTACCAACCAAAATTTGCTGCCTTTTGTGAATATAAACAGGCAACCTGTTTGAATTTGTGTTTGACAGAAATGGGAATAAAAAAATATGGCCACTAGCTAAAGAGTTGTATTTGTATTTTGGTTCCTAAAAACTGTGAGGTGCATGCATTATTGAAAAGGCTGTGAAAGGTTGATTCTTTCTATGTTTTTTCCTTTCTTGTCATTATTGATATTCACCTTTTGGATGTGTACTGAGTTGTCAGACCAGGGAGGATGTGACGTGTGCAATGATGGCTGGAGGAGAATGCTTGCCGTTTCGTACTTTTTCTCTCTCTTTTAACACTGAAAAAGTGCTTCTGGGTCTGTTTCTAAAGCACCTCAAAGAGAGAAAATTTCATGTATGTTTTGTAAAAGTTAATTTCTTTTGTCCATCCATGTTCATTTGATTGAAAAGATTCCCTCAATTATACATTCTTATTATTGATTAATAATTAATTAAAATTGTCCTATATTCTAATGCATATATAAAGATTGGATTCCAAGAGGAAACAATTCTTTTCCTGCAGAATATTTTGGTGTCTGGATGAAAGCATGGCAGAAGACTATTCAGAGGCACTTTTGAAGAAGAATTACTATGAGAATTGCCCGGGTTGTAAGGTTGATCGATACAAAGAGTTGAAGAAAGGACTGCCTATTCGAGAACTTTTCTCAATATGGATTGTTGTGCTTGGTACTGGTAAGCATTCTTATTGCCAGTTGTTGTTAGGCTTTCAGTTATTGAAGTTCTACGATATAATTTAGCATAGAATAGTGAACTTCTATAAAATCATATTGCCTTCGTCTTTTTGCATTGGTACTTTCAATGGCTTTGAATGATTGTTTATGTCCATTTTGTGCACATGTGTCTATGTGCATAATTGAGGAGAATATTGGCAAATAAATATATAATTTCTTCCGTAAAAATTCCGTAAAAATGTTGTGCAAGACGTAGGATATATCTAGGAAACCTATTTGCATCTTTTGGTTTTGATTGATCAAGGAAACTTTTTCGTAGGGTATTGAGTTAAGGAAACTAATTTGATTGGTTACGGAAACCTATTTTAATTAGACTGAATTTTTATAGTCATTAGATGTAGAACAAGGTGGAGCTTTGGAGGGCCCCACCGCCCCAAGCTCCCGAAAAACATATTTCTCAGAAAAAACAATGACATTTTCTCCTCCAAAGTTCAAAAAACTTCATTTTGCTCTCTAAAATTAAAAAATTATATTTTGCCTCTCAAACTGTATTTTCTGATTCCATTCTTGAAAGTCATATGGGTTTCAAATTTTTGCTTTGGTATTCTAATGGTTTTGAATGATCATATTTGTCCATATGGTGCAAATGTGTGTTTGTGCGTAAGTTACGAGAATATGGTGAATAACTATATAATTTGTTGCATAAAAATTCTAAGGTCATGGGTTTAGTATGTAAATGAGTTGTGGTATTTAGAAGCAAATAGTTTTTTTTTTTTTTTTTTTTTTTTTTTTTTTTTTTTTTTTTTTTTTTGTTTCAAATGTAAAACAATTATGGAAACCTATTTTGAGCCATCTTCTGGTCATGAATGATTAACGAAGATCTTATTTGCAAAATTTTTTTTTTTTTTTTTTTTTTTTTTTTTTTTTTTTGTTTTAATGTAAAACATATTATGGAAACCTATTTGCATCTTCTGGTCTTGAATGATTACGAGATCTATTTGCATAAAGTAGTGAATTTTTACAATGCTAATAGGACGGAGCTCTGGTGGGACTACCGCTATCCCAAGCTCCATAAAAAAGTATTTCTTAGAAAAAAACCAACTGCCAGCACAAAGACAATATATTGTCTTAGAGTACTTTTATGGGTTTGATGGTATCAGGAATTTCAGTTCATTCTTTTTAGAGTTTTATGAAAATAGATTTATCCCCTAATTTGGTATAAATAAATTCTATAAAATTTTGTGGAATTCAATTACATTTCTATATTTCATGTTTGGTATGTAAAAGAAAGTTCATTTCTATTCTGTGAATTCAATTTTATACAACTGACTATAACTAAACAAATTTTCCATTCATGGAATTTCAAATGAATTACCTAAAACCTATGGAACTAAAACTTTAGACCAAAATGTGTATCCTCTGTCTTAGTCACACCCCCTGCCTCTCTCTCTCTCTCTCTCTCTCTCTCTCTCTCTTCTCTTCTCTCCTCCCTCATTTCCTCTACTTTCTATTTCTCTCTCTCTTTTCTTTTTCTTTTTTTTTTCCCTCCCTCTCTCTCTCTCTCTCTCTCTCTAAGGATATAATATCATCTGCACTCTATGTTTATTCTGAATATGAATTTCTGGAATTCAATTGAATCTATGTTTTAATTTTATCATATCAAACTTAACATTTTATCTAGAATTCATTTAGAAATAAATTCTATATTTTAGATCCATTTATATCAAATGGTGTTTTAGCAAAGAAAATTTTGGTGCTAGTCAGAGGATAATTCAGAGTTGGTGGCTGTGGATATGGTGTATAAAGGATCTCTACATTCCTCTCAATTTAGATTTAATTTACTAATGGAAATTTTTGGAGATGTTAAAAAATCAGGATAATAGAATAACAGTTTCTGAACACTGTTGATTTAGTACCTATGGATTCCAAATCATGTTTTTTTGTACTCAATTTTTTTTTTTTGGTTTTAAATATGCTTAATGCCAAACATCCTACCTTTTATTTTCGGGAAAAAAGTTTATAACATACTGCGTTCATTATGGAAAATGTCTAGTGGAAACAAATTATTTTGGATTCTTTGAACTGTATCTTATATTCATATCTTAATATTCTAGTAGATAAATAGTCCCACTGTAGCAGTATTACTTTGGTTTATAGCAGAATTGAGTGGCATTTAGTTCATTATTTACTGTTTGACACATTTTTGGTCTCCTGCTTCACTTGAACGAGTAGCAGTTGCATGTTGCTTAGTTATGCAATTCCTTGGACAAATATATGACCCCAGTGTTAATTTTTGCAGCATTACCAATATCATCTCTCTTTCCATTCCTTTACTTCATGGTAAGTGTGTGTGTATGCCTTTTGAATTAATTCCATTATTCTAGTTCATACCTGACATCTTTTTTAAGCCATATTTTTGTCTTTTTTTTTTAATATAAATTTTGTAGTTCTAAATCTTAAGACAATAAGGATGCAAACCAAATTTCTCAAATAAAAACTAAGGACTCCCCAAAAAAAGTTGGACAGATTTTCCAACATAGATGGGAGCCATAAAATTGCCCTTAAATTATTATGCCAGCAATTAATTAATTTAAATACACACACACTTAATAGATATCAGACTCTAAAAAATTTCTATAGCATCCGCCCATTCTAGCTTTCAGGTAACCTGATATTCAGCATTAGAATCCTGCACCCCAAGCTGTCCTATGTCATAATGGCTCCTAAACAGTAAATTCTAAAATACGACCAGTGCATAACTCTGTTATTGATTCTCAGTGTGGTCCAGAGTATATATTTGTACATATTTTACTGGTGTATATGAATGTGACATACAAAAAAATCCATACATGTTCATGTTTTTGTAGAAAGCTGTCAACTTGCCCAGGTTCTTACTGTCCTATGGCAGAAAAAGATATCAACTTCTCCACCTTTAGCGTTGCCATCTTGGTTTCTTTTCCTTTTCTATGTTTCACTTTCTTCAGTTGATTGACCATTGTTAACTGCAAAGTGTTGCTGGTTGCCACTCAAAGATATGGTTAAAGAAATGGGAAATTGTTGCAACTATCTCAACTTATGGACAACAAGGACAGAGATTATTCACCATATTCTTTTATGAATTTGTTTATCTAACTATCCATTCATCATTTCTTGGACACTTGCTGTATGTATTGGGTCATGGAGGGGATGATGATATCCAATTCGCACTAGTTTATCCTGGATGGCTTGAACTTCTTACAACGATTGGGAACTGAAACGTTGAAGGATAATCTTCAATTTTGAAGTTATAAATAATGGACCTCTTGTTTCAAAATTACACCCACGACACTCACTTGTCTCAAAATAGCAACTCTTTCTCTCTCTCTCTCTCTCTCTCAAACGCACAAATTTACATATGTATTTGTGTTGTGTTTCTTTGAGATTGTGAAAGTGATACTCGATCCTATTTGATGATTTATTTTGTTTTCTTCTCCTTTCTTTAGAAGATACAAAATAAAATCTTGATTTTACCACCAACAGATGTTTTGCTAGTGCATTTGGATTTCCATGTATCAACAATAATTTTAAAATCATACATACTTGTTCTAGAAATTTAACATTATGATCAATTTGTCATTGAAGGTTAGGGATTTTCATATTGCAAAACGGGAGGAAGACATTGGCTATTATGCAGGATATGTTGGTGAGCTTACACTTCATGCTTCATATTCATTAATGGCATATTTCAGGTACAATTGCACTTGTCATTACTAAACTTGGCACTTGATTATAAAATTGTTGACGTAAGATCAAATTCTTATAATTTGGTTACCAAAGTTTAATTCATGTTCTAGTTCTACTATGGAAGTTCCAGCAAAATTCTAATTGGATGGCCAAATTGTAAGAAATTGATCTTACAAGAAAACTTTAAAATCAAGTACCAAGTTTAGTGACCACAGTTGCAATTTTCTTGCATATTTTCTGGAGTCGAGTTCTAACAAGCCATTAAATATTTTTAAGGGTCTACATATATGCTTGGGAGAGCTTTGACTTCTGCTTTTTGGGGAATAGTGGCTGATCGCTATGGACGAAAACCTGTTATAATTATAGGGAATTTGACAGTGTTAGTAACAACTATTTTCTTAAGAACTCTTAGTTTTGCGTATCTAGTACCCTTGGGACTTTTAGTTTAAAATATCTCATGTTATGTTTTCATGATTGTATGGTCATTAATTGATCTCAGAGTTATCTTCAACACCCTCTTTGGCCTTAGCACAAATTTTTGGATGGCTATCGCTACAAGGTTTTTTCTTGGGAGTTTCAACGGTTTACTTGGACCTATAAAGGTAAAAATTTGCACTGTGATTTTGTTTTTTTAATTATCATCATTATTACTTAGGCATAGCTTTTATTATTTCTTGCATTTTGAATAAATTATATTGTGATTCTTTTAGATGCTTCTTGTATTCGATTATTTTCTCAGTTTTCCAATTTTATGTTTATTGAACAGGCATATGCATGCGAGATTTTCCGTGAGGAATATAGTGCTTTAGGATTGTCAACAGTGAGCTCTGATTAACTTTGTATAATGTCAGTTCTTGATTGCCTTAGTGACTCAATACTAAAGATATAAAATGCAATTTTAGGTGAGTACGGCATGGGGTATAGGATTGATCATTGGTCCAGCTCTAGGAGGTTTCCTTGCCCAGGTATTTGAGTTTATTAACTATTTACTCTGAGAAATTTCTTTATGTTTGGTGAATATTGGTACTTGCCCTTATTTAGGCATCGGAATCTGATCAAATGTGTATTCCTAAATGTCCCATTATTGGGATCCTAGGGATTTTAGATCAATAGGAACAAGTCAGAGCATGCATCAATTGGTTTTGTCAGGTCTAAAGTTTAGTTTGGTTATTTGGTTTTAGGTATTTGTAATCTAAAACTAAAAAATGGGTTCATCTAACAGAGGACTACTATATAGAAACAATTGGCTTAACACATTTAGTAAATGGGAGTAAAAGAACTCAAGCAAAAGCCAAAATAACTTTATCAACTTTCATATCTCGTTAAGGCCAAACCATCCTAAAAGAAGAGAGGGAAAGAAAAGAGGGATAGAGACAAATTTGCTATAATACTTTCATAGACACTCTGAAAGAATAAGATAATAAAAGAGCAAGCAATAAATTTACCCCTACAACTTCATGTGTGTTTACATGTATATGATTTCATATTAGCAAGTTTTAATAAATTTAATTATTAAATATAATTAGTATGCATGGATTAAAATGGTTTAAAATATATTTATTAAGTAGAATACAAAATATATAATTAACATATAAAAATTGATAAATATCAAATAAAACATATTTAACAATATTATGAAATTTTATTTCAATAAATCGTGAAAATTAAAAGTTTAGATGGTATAATTTCACTAGAATTCTAAAACTTATAAAGTTAATCGACATTAAACAAACATAGAATTTAAGTTTTTACTTTAAGAATATGTTTGTAATGTCAATGCACAAAAAGAGCAAATGATATGAATATTACTCATCTAATGATGAGAACATGTGTTAAAGCAATAAGTCAAGAAAAAAAAAAAAGCTTGTATAATATTGAAAAGGTGAATATTGTTTGGGGTGTCAAAATAGGTTGGCTGTCAGTAGGCATGGCCAAATCACGGTTCATGGAACCGGAACCGCCGGTTCGAACCGGTTCCGAAAGAACATGTGGTTTAAAGCAATAAGTCCAAGAAAAAAAAAAAGCTTGTAATAGATATTGAAAAGGTGAATATTGTTTGGGGTGTCCAAATAGGTTGGCTGTCAAAGTAGGCATGGCCAAATCACGGTTCATGGAACCGGAAACCGCCGGTTTCGAACGGTTCCAGAACCCGGAACCGGAACCGGTGCGAACCCCCGGAAACCGGAACCGGTGCGAACACGAACGGGAACGAACCGAACCGAACCGGGAAGATTCCGGTTCGGTTCCGTTCCAGAATATTCTGGAACAGAACCGGCGGTTCCAGAAAAACCGGTGCCGGAACCGGTTGGAACCGGCCGGTTCTCCGGCCGGTTAGAAAACCGCGGTTCGAACCGGCGGTTCTAGCCGTTTACTGTCAGATTTTTGATTTTTTTCTTTTTTTGTAAAATTTGTTGTAAAATCTCTTAATTACCCCTCCCAACGGCTATCAAACGGCTTATCGGCTACATAACGGCTAGTTTCAAGGGTATTTTTAGAAAAATGAATTTTTGGATTTATTATAAATACCTCATTTTATTTACAAATTCATTACAAAAACATCTCAACTCTCTCTACAATATACTACACTCTCTACTTACTCTCTCTACCATATACTACACTCTACTCTATATTAATCATTTATTCTTCTCTACTCTACTCTATATTCTTACCATGCAAATTTTCGGGTACGCTTCTAACCTTCTTTATTTATATATTCTGAAAAAATACAAAAAGAAGAATTAGCAAAAATGATTTCTATGGAACATTTATCTTTTAGTTTTGGTGAAAAAGTAGGTTTAGATCATCTATTCCTAACAAACGACATCTATAATAATAATTCCCGAGCAAATTTAATTTTGAGGGGTTTCCAAATGAAAATTGGATATTCCAACTTCAAAGAATCCGAATTAATTAATGAGCAATTTCAAGAAGATGAAGAGCAAGAGCAAGAGCAACGAGCAAAAATTGTTACAAGAGTAAGACAAAGTTCCGACATATTCTCCATTTATTTCACAAGAAAATTCAAAGGTGAGAAAATGTACGATATAATTTGCAATTATTGTGGAAAATCTTATAAATTTAAATAAGCGGACGGCTATGGATCATTTTGGAAGCATTTGGAGGCAAAACATCCAACAAAAATAGTAGTTGATCGGTCTCAACAACAAATTTCCGGGTACGCTTCTAACCTTTCTTTATTTAAATATTCTGAAAAAATATAAAAAGAAGAATTAGCAAAAATGATTTTCTTTCAAAGATTTAAAATTTTTTAGGTGTATTTTTCAATTTTTTAATGTTCAAAAAAGAAATTTTTTTAAATTTTTTTTAAGGTGTATTTTTCAATTTTTTATGTTCAAAAAAAATTTTTTTAAACCGGTTTTCAAATTTTAAAATGTTAAAATTATGCGAATTCGCCGGAAAACCGATCGGAACCGTCGTTTTTGTAATCGATCGAACCGGAACAGGAACCGGACGGACGGTTCCAAACCGGAACCGAGGGAACCGGTCCTGTAACGGTTCCGGTTCCGGTTCCAGAAATATCTTGAGAGCGAACAGTGTAACTCGCATTGGAGGTGGAGGCCGAGCAAGGTGGTTGTGTCGAGCCGAGAGAAAGAAATAGCAGGACGGTTCCAAACCGGAACCGGAACCGGTCCTGTACGGTTCGGTTCCGGTTCCAGAAAATCTGGAACCGGAACCGTGGCCAAGCCTAGCTGTCAGGTTCTACAAGAAATCGCTTGACACTTGACATGATTAGGATCAATATGAACATGATCCATTTAATAATCATGACAAATATATGAACAGAACATAAAAATTAAATAGGTCATATGAACACGACATGTATAACCCGTTTAATGATGTGGGTTAGAAAATCCAACTCAATTAATTAAATAAGTCGTATGTGGATCACATACATGTCAGAAAACCTAATATGTATAACCAGCTTGGTATATAATGTTATACATGAAATTACCTTTTTATCCTTAATTAAACGAGTTGGATGGGTTTCGCGAGCCAACCCATGACATAATTCTTTTAAACCTGTATCATATATGAGTCACCCGTTTATGATAAAAATCCATTTAAACTCAATCCTAACCCGCTTAATTTTTGTGTTTGGAAAATCGCGTTCCCATGTAATAACACATTTTGACACTCCTATTACAAGGACTCAAGACATTATATAGGAAGGATTAAAACTATATCAATTAGAAAATAGTTTATATTAAATTAGGGAGTTCAATGAAAGTAAACAAGAAGAACTACGAATATATTAATTAGAAAGCAGTTTATATTATGCGAAAAGAGAAGAAAAAACTTGAAAGAGAGTTAGAAGTTTGAAGCATTCAACTTGATTATTCCCTCAAGCTTGTTAGGGTATAAATAGTACAAAGGATGAAACTATATAGAAAATGAATCCCTTAATTACAACCTAATTTATAGCATCATATCATCTAATGCCATGCTAATATTAGCATATAATTGCAATATTCTAATACTTCCCCTCAAGCTAGAGCGTACATGTTATATGCTCCTAGCTTGTTACGAATGTATTCAAACCAGAGGATCTCTAAGAGATGTATTAAGGATATCTACCAATTGATCATTTGAATTGACAAAGGAGGTGGCAATATATCCTAACTCCATCTTCTACCTGATGAAATGGCAATATGTCTTTATATATTTTCTTTTCTCGTGGAGCACTAGGTTTAAGGCGATATGAGGTGTTGATTGATTGTCACAAATCAATTTTATCTATTTGACTTCTTCATTTTTCTTTTTTTTTTGGAGAAGTTACTTCAACCAAATAATTTCTCATGTGAACAACGTCATGGTTCGGTATTTTGCTTTTGCACTTGATCTGGCTACAACATCTTGCTTTTTACTCTTCCAGGATATCAAATTTACTCCAATCATAACACAATAACCTAAAGTGGATCGTCTATCGAGGGGACAACCTGCCCAATCTGCATCACAATATCCATCAATTTGCAAGTGATCCTTATCTTTATACAACAAGCCATGTCTAAGAGTTCCTTTGATATACCTAAGAATGCGAATCACTATATTTTAGTGACTATCACATGGGGATTGAAGAAATAGGCTAACCACATTTACCATAAAAAATTCAACCAATCTTCGATATTTACTAGGGTCTTCCAATATCTTCTCCTGTATATGAATAAGTTTAATGTTAGGATCCATTGGAGTGTCCACGTGTTTGCTATTTAACATGATAGTTTTTTCTTATATATCTAGAGCATATTTCATTTATGAAATAACAAAATGTGTCTTAGATTGTGCTATCTCAAGTCCTGGGAAATACTTGAGCTTTTCTTAATCTTTAGTTTTGAAAATGGTGAAACAAAATGTTATTTGAGTTGAGAAATCATTTCATGATCATTGCCTCTTATAACTATGTCATCAATATAGACCACTAAGTAAATAAAATTACTATGATCTCCATGCTAATACAGCACCGAATGATCGACTTTGACTCGTCCTAAATTGTTTGACAACAACACTAAATCTTCCAAACCATGCCTTTGGAGACTACTTTAAACCATACATAGATAAATGTAGACGACATACTAAGCTAGGCTACGCTTAGCAGCAAAACCCAGTAGTTGATCCATATAAAGTTCCTCCGCTAGCTCTTCATGTAAAACAACATTTTTGATATCAACTTGATGAAGTGATCAATGATGAATAGCTGCTAGGGAGATTAGAAATCAGACAAATGCTATCTTAGCCACAGGTGAAAAGGTGTTTATAATCAAGGCCATAGATTTGAGTGTATTGCTTAGCAACAAGATGAGCTTTGAGGCCATCAACTTTGGCATCTGGACCAATTTTGATAGTATAAACCCAAAGACAACCAACAATGGTTTTACCTTGGTGATGGAACTAATTCCTAAGTATCATTAGCATGGACTGTAGTCATCTCTTCGAGCATGGATTTTCA